CCTCTTGGCTGAGATGGCCCCGCTGTTAGCAGCGAAAATAAAGAACTGATACATATCACCAGAAAATGAACAAATCTGAGAGAGCTTTACCTGAGGACCCTGTATGTACCGTATAGTGATTAAAGCAAACAGACTTTTAAGCAGTTTTTGACAGGAAGTCGAAAATATCACTTTTTAGGAAAAATGCCAAAATATTTATCAAAATTAAAGAATTGAAGATATCATGAAATGAACAAATCTGAGAGAGGTCTGCCCAAGGTACATATACATCGAGTATCAAAGCAATGAGGCTTGTAGTTTTCAAGAAGTTGAAAAAGTAACAGGCCATGCATGGCACAGTCCCAGTTATTGAATTTAAGGTTTATAGTTTTGTTTATAGTAATATAGCTGGAATATAACGATGTCAGGAATATGATTATGATGATTGTTTAACATTAAAATGATTGACATTTGTATCTGATCATCAAACGAGTACTTCCATATTGTCCATATTGAGAGATATTGCTCTGAACAGCATTAATTAAAACAAAATCAGCCATTTTGAATACATGTATATATTTATAACATGATAACTTGCATCAAGGTGCCATAATGTCTAATGTATATACCAAGTTTAAACAAAAACCATCAGTAACAGCCAAGAAATGCTTGATTTTGATGATTTTTCAGCACAAAAATGACCGCCATTCGGCCATATTGAATCACATCTTGAAATAAATTGATGTGCATATGTATAATATCATGTACGTGTTTTGTTTGATTGTGATTGGTCCAGGCATGTCTAAGATACTCGCGGAAGCACAGAGGTCAAACCACAAGTCTCCGTTTTCAGACTTCATCCGAACGGGAACTAACAAGCAGCCTGACGACAGATAGCTCCGCTGTTTGCAATGCACATTTCAAATAAAGAAAAGAAGGGTCCTACTATTTAACGCCCGGACACGCGAGGGAGTGTCCGGGCACGCGCGGAGGCGAACAGGGGGGAATACCTAACGCGCGGGGCAGCGGCAGCAATCCTTCTACTGTATAATATTCGTTTATGCTCAAAATTTGAACCGGAGTGGCGAATTCGAGCAGCTATCCACACTTTTTATGATCGACGCCCGGGCATTCCGGCGAGTCGAGTCCGCCATGTTGTTTACTAATTTTGGTTAGCGTTTAACATAGGACAATACCATTCGATCCATGGGGGTGACAGTCCTACGAATGTGCCGACATTGTCGAAGGACAAGGACAGGAACAGTTTGTGCAAGTGTGGCGAGACTCCCGTAATTATGCGGAAATTATTTACCTCATGTGAAAAAAGCATGTTTCTCATTGTGTGCTATATGTATCGTATCATG